CATGTGGCATTTAAATGTACAAGGTGCCATGATGTATAGTTGAGAGGAGAGGGTGGAATTGTACAAGGAGGTTGCAGAACTAGGATAGGTAAAAGGAGAGTTTGGAGATTAGTGGAGAAATGCTCTAGGTCAAGACTTTGGAGGTTTCTGTGAGAGTGATGTTCAGACGGTAGTTTCAATTGGATCTTAGGTATGCCAATGTCAAAAGTCAGCAGATGGTGGTCAGATAGAGGAAAATGAATATTGGAGAGATTAGAGGCAGTACAGAGGTTGGTGAAGGCAAGATCAAGAGTGTTTCCCACTGTATGGGTTGCTAGATTGGACCATTGCGTAAGGCCCAAGGAGGAGGTTACAGAGAGCAGACGAGAGGCATCAGTGCAATTGGGGTTATTGATTGGGATATTGAAATCCCCAAGTATAAGGGAAGGAGTGCTAGATGAGAGGAAGTGGGGAAGCCAGGAAGAAAAGTGCTCAATGAATAGTCTAGGATAACCGGGGGGGAGGGGGGCAGTAGATGATAGCAATTCTTAAAGGAGTGGGTTTAAATAGGCGGACAGTGTGAACTTCAAAAGAAGAAAAAGGATAGGACAGGGGGAGTTATGATTGGTTGAAAGGTACATTGAGGGGAGTGAAGGATGCCTACGCCGCCTCCTTTACAGTTGAGTCTGGGAGTGTGAGAGTATTGTAGCCCAGCAAAACATAAAGAGGCAGGAGTAGCGCTATCAGTGGGGGACAGCCAGGTCTCTGTAAGTGCAAGTAGTGTGAGCGAGTTTGAGATAAAAAAAGTTGTATATGGTTGTTGATTTTAAATTACTGCAGATGGAGCGGGCATTCAAGAGTGCACAATTAATTTTGGTAAGTGCGGGTAAAGGGCAGGGTATTGTGATGAGGTTTGTGGGGTTTCTGGTTGTCTTAGTGTGTGTAGAGAAGGTGAAGGGTCCTGGATTGGGAGAGACATCACCAGCTGCTAGAAGGAGGAGGAGAGAAAGTGACCGGAGGTTTGAATGGGTTTTGTATGCATGGGGTCTAGGATGAGATCGATTGTGGGTTGGAGTGAGAGAGTAGAAACATTAGTGTAAGGCATGAGATGAGAGAAGGGGGGAGTGTAGCAGAGAAGGGCATATGTAAATGTGGATGGGGGAATGAGTGAAGTGGGTGTAAGGAGAGATTTTTATACTGATGGAGAATGAGGAAATAAAGAGGAGGAGAAAACAGATCATTGATAACTGTGAAAAATAAAAATTGGAGATAATTGGCATATCAAGAGCAGGTGAAGGTGTTTTATGGGAAAGTGCAGGAGTGTACTAATAAGAGGCAGTTTTTTTTGTTTTTTTAAACCTAACTAAAATGTAGGTGTGACAGACAATCTATAAATGTAATAATGAGCATGGGGTGGGCATCAGGCTTGCTCACTGAAAGAATGGGCTTGCAAAGTTGGGGAATCAGGCTTTGCAGACGATCAGGCTTGCTCACTGAAGGAATGGGCTTGCAAAATACACACACACATTCACTGACAGACACACACACACACACTCCCTAACAGACAAACACTGACAGACACGCACTCACTCACTAACAGACATACACATTAACAGACACACACACTAACAGACACACACACACACACACTTTTTTTTTTTTTAATTTAACCCCCCCAGCCTCCTTACCTTTGGGAAAGCTGGGGGGAGGGGGGTTTCTCCCTTTACCTGTGGGTCCAGTGGCTGCTGAATGGGCAAGCATTGCTTGCTAGGGAGCACTTTCCCCTGAGCACTCTGCTCAGCTCCCTCGCGCGCCTCCCGCAGAGTGATGCCGGCAGCCGGAGTATGACGGGGGAAAGACACACACACACACTCACTAACAGACACACACACTAACAGGCCCGCCCGCCTGGCTTGTCAGTTAGCCACAAGGCTAACAAGACATTTGCCCTGGGCATTTGGGGGCGGCCTTTTTTGCCGCCCCCTGGAAAATGCCGCCCAAGGCAAATGCCTTGTTTGCCTCGCGGCTAATACGTCCCTGTCTGTTTCCCGTTAGATTTTAAGCTCGTGGACAAAGCTTTTAAAATCGAACACATGTATGTTTAGTTCCAAAGTAATACATTATACCTTTCCATCAGTAAACCCAGTGTTGTGGAATTTGAAACAATATGAAATATTGGTGCTATATAAATGAACATTCATTTAGTCATGCAGCTGTTCAGTTTTATATGTTTAATTAAACCCAATTATGTGGACATAAATAATCAGGGATGGGATGTTCATGCCACATTTAGTTTACAAACATGTTTCAAAATTTGAAATATTTTATTTGGAATCTCTTCAGACTGAGATTGTCTTTGTGTTTGTCAAACATTGCTCTCTAAATATCTGCATAGAAACTGCAATAGTGAGATCTCCAGGTGAATGTGACATCTACATTCTACTACTGACTTCTACTGTGGACTTGCCAGGTAACAAGAGAATGGCTTGTTTCCTTCCCCCTGTTTGAGAATCTATTTAAAGGACCACTATAGTGCCAGGAAAACATACTCGTTTTCCTGGCACTATAGTGCCCTGAGGGTGCCCCCACCCTCAGGGTCCCCCGCCAGCTCTGAAGAAAGGGTAAAAACTTACCTTTTCAGCGCTGCGTGACTCCCTCCTCTCTCCCGCCTCATTACACGCCCCGCCCGGCTGAATACTTGCGGCAAAACTGCAGCGCATTCGCATAGGAAAGCATTTACAATGCTTTCCTATGGACGCTAGCGTGCTCTCACTGTGAAAATCACAGTGAGAAGCACGCAAGCGCCTCTAGTGGCTGTCAATGAGACAGCCACTAGAGGATTAGGGGGAAGGCTTAACCCATTCATAATTATAGCAGTTTCTCTGAAACTGCTATAATTATGAAAAAATGGGTTAACCCTAGAAGGACCTGGCACCCAGACCACTTCATTAAGCTGAAGTGGTCCAGGTGCCTAGAGTGGTCCTTTAACCAAGCAAGAACTAATTCTCTTACAGTCCAATTACAAGTCAAAATATTACTTAGAAAAATTTAAATAAAATGCAGGAACTATTAAACAGCATTTAATACACAAAACACAAATGGATGGGGGCAAAGTATTTTTTTTTTTTAAATGTAGTTATTCGAACTAGCTCTTCTAAGGCTAGACCAAAAAAAATCCAAATCAAGTTAAAACACTATGAGATATGGTGTCAGGTCTTTGTAGAGCTGTTAGTAAACTATTTTCCTTTTAATTATTACCTGGTTTACGGTTTCATACAAACCATTGATGCACTCAAACCTCATGGGGATTCATTCACCAAACAGTAATTTGTGTATTTGCAATAACAATAACAAAATAGTTAGAGGAATTGTCTGGGTTTGTTTCACATTTGTACTCAGTGCCGAATCTCCTATAAGGCCACAAAGGCCATGGCAGACAGGAGAATGGTGGCACTGCTGGGACCCTTGATCAGTGGTGGTACAGTAGGAGTGTTCGGTGGGAAGTAGAATAGCTTTTTCCTTTTCTCACCCAGCAACTGTGGCAGCAGGTCCTCTCCTCCTCAGTTGCAGTTGGACAGATTACAGGAGAGCACACAGAGCTGATGTCAGCATCATAACCCTGAGCAACCTCCTGTACCCCCAGCTGCCTGTTATTACTTGAGACCAAGTGAGCAAAGGGGAATAAGTGGTGCATGGGTTGGGTGGGGGGAAGGATTGGAGAACAATTGTGTGAAGAAGGGTTACAGAAGAGCAGAACAGCTTATTGGGGGGAGAAAGAAGAGAGGAACAAGTGAGAGAAGGGAGAACAAGTGAGGGAATGGGAACAATAGGAGTGGAACAAGTGAGGAACGAGGAAAAGAAGAGGGGTACAAGTGAGTGTTGGGCGAAAGAAGCGGGGACAAGTAAGGGAAGGGGGAATGAGAAAAGGGCAACAATTGAAGAAGGAAAAGTAGCATATGTGGTGAAAGGGGGAAAAGAACACGTGTTAGGGAGATATATATTAGTAGAGGGGGATGGAGAGAGATTAAGAGGGTCAGACAGCAATTGGAAACATAGTGCACAAACATACCTATACATAGAAACATAGAATGTGACGGCAGATAAGAACCATTCGGCCCATCTAGTCTGCCCAATTTTCTAAATACTTTCATTAGTCCCTGGCCTTATCGTATAGTTAGTATGGCCTTATGCCTATTCCACGCATCCTTAAACTCCTTTACTATAGAAACATAGAATGTGACGGCAGATGAAAACCATTACATGCACACTAAATATTCAAACTAAAGCTTCACACAAATATGCTCCTGCATGCATACACTGTCACTCCATAAAAACATACCACTAAATCCACACACTAGCACTCTACACATATACGCCCATCATACACATGCAGTCACTTCACACAAATATGGACCTACATAGTTACATAGTTACATAGCTGAAAAGAGACTTGCGTCCATCAAGTTCAGCCTACCTCACATTTGTTTTTTGCTGTTGATCCAAAAGAAGGCAAAAAACCCAGTTTGAAACACAATTTTGCAACAAGCTAGGAAAAAAATTCCTTCTTGACCCCAGAATGGCAGTCAGATTTATCCTTGGATCAAGCAGTTATTACCCTGCATTGAAAGATTATATCCTTGAATATTCTGTTCTTGCAAGTATGCATCTAGTAGCCGTTTGAACATCTGTATGGACTCTGATAAAACCACTTCCTCAGGCAGAGAATTCCACATCCTGATTGTTCTAACAGTAAAAAAACCTTTCCTTTGCCTTAGACGAAATCTTCTTTCTTCCAGTCCTATGTAAAGTCCACATTGCCATTCATCCTCATATTCTGAACTGGCCATATTCCCCTATCCACCCATTCAGATAGTCCCATATCACCTCCTAGTCAGACCCACTCACCCTGTTACATTTATACACTTGGCCACATAGCTTTTCACCTGCCCCCACCCACATTGCACTTACTGATATCCAACCACCTAGTCATAATTACCATACAGCTATACCTGTGAAAATCACAGTGAGAAGACGCCAGCGTCCATAGGAAAGCATTATGAATGTTTTCCTATGAGACTGGATGAATGTGCGCGCGGCTCCTGCCGCGCATGCGCATTCAGCCGTTGACGTCGCTAGGAAGAAGGAGAGGAGGAGGAAAGCTCCCCGCCCAGCGCTGGAGAAAGGTAAGTGTTTAACCCCTTCCTCTCCCCAGAGCCCGGCAGGAGGGGGACCTTGAGGGTGGGGGCACCCTCAGGGCACTATAGTGCCAGGAAAACGAGTATGTTTTCCTGGCACTATAGTGGTCCTTTAAACTTCTTATTTTCATTCATCCAAACTTAATATATATGATGGGTTGGGAGGAAACTGGCCTTGGGGGAGCAGAGAGGGTAAATCAGGCCCTGTTGGCACTGCGTTTTGGAAAGGTTTGTGAAGGAAAAGAATTTGATTCAATTTACCAAAATCTACAATGTACTTAATAGACCCATTAGTTACTGTAGTTTTTGTAAACCTTGAATCTGAAAACCATAAGTGTAGTAATGATAAAATGCATATGCTGTAAATGTCTATATGATTTAAACAAGTGTTAGCTACGGGTGAGTAATGTCTTGTGGCCAGAAACATATTTCCTACTGTTAGCCACAAACCTTTCCACATAGCATACATCTAAAAACATTATGTCCTGTTCTGCATGTCATTTTCCGTGACATGCGCATAGTACAGATGTGTTTGGTTTATGTCTCAAAGTGCAAAAGAAAAATAGAAAGAGCACAACAACAACAAATTGAGAAATGTAGCCACTGAATTTTTTGTGCGTTTCTGCTCTTATGTTTTTACGAGATATATAGGTAAATTAGCATGTAAATGAAATCACATTTTTATTATAGTTTGGTTAACATACATAAAAACATTCAATATTTTCATAGAATATGAAATAAACATCTATTCTAGCTCTGTTTGTTACTGCCAATTAACATACCTGTTTACATCTGTAAGGTGCAGATCTAATTCCACAGTCATTGTTTTCTCAACTCATAGGAACTACAGTGCATGCTGTGGTTGCTGCTAGTGTTCCACACCGACCCAATGGCGGTAATAGTATTTCAAAAGGGAAGCTCTTTAAAATGTGGAAGCAATGTGATCTGGAGTCTAGCTGTTCAGTGGCATTTGGTCTGGTTGAAGTCTGGACCAAATTTAGGCATGTTTGGTACATGGATTGCAAAATCCAGACATTGCTAAATATTGTGAACAATGTCTGAAGTTTGCAGTCCAAATGGCCTGTATGCAGCCAGATGGTTTTACCACATTTGATATGGGACTTTAAACTGTGTTTTCTGCATGATCCACCTTTTGTGGGCTGACCTGCCAATTCTTTGGATAGACTCGCCCCTCTTCCAGCCAGATCCACTGCATTCCTGGACAGGATTGCCCCCTTGGGTGGTGCCAGCGATGTGATTCAAGTCATTGGCCTGTCCTGTTTTACCCTGTCCACGAATAGCTTGTGAATAGATGTTAAGACGTTGGTTGGGGTATGGTCAAACCATTATAGAATGGCTTAACTTTTTACCCGGAGTGTACCAGGTGCTACTCCGTGCATTCAAAACAGCCTTCAGAGACCCAGAAGTTACTTCTGTAAGCTCTCCAAGGAGCTTCCGGCCACTGTACTAAAACCCTAATGTATGGTAGTATAGGTCCTCTAAGCTCAAAGTCGGCATCAGGCCATACCTGTCTTGGCCTGCTAGTAAGATGTATAATTCAGTCAACGTTAATTCAAACTTCTCCCTGGAAATAATATCACGAGAGATGGGCTGGGGAGACAAACAATGATATTTTCTTACCCCAGCTTCTCTCCAACCACATAAGTAAAGGAAGAGGGTTTAATTAAAGACAGCATATATCAGCTGCTAACTAAACGTGTAACACTCACCACACAGACCAGAAAATAAATTCCATATCTGGGTATATTATGATGTCAATAGAATCCTTCTATGGCACTATTGGGCCATACATAGATTAGATTAGTGCATACATATAGGCGCTTTCTGATGCTTCACAGAGTTTAAATCTGTGAAACGACACTGAACCTCCTCACGCTTTACATGACCACATCCTACGGCTTGAAAATTTCCATAGGAAAGCATTGATTCAATGCTTTCCAAGGAGGAAGCTCTAATTCGTGTGCGGTGCTTGCCGAGCATGCGCAAAATATTCCACCATAACTGTGATATTGCGGGAGGAGGAGACCATTCCAGTGTCAAGGGTTCTCTGTGCTGGAATCATATAAGTGACAGGTTTTCTAACCCTTTTATGACAAGGGTTGGTGGGGCAAAGTGACACTATAGTTGCAGGAAAACTATTTTGTATTTATCTTAAATCACTCCCATATACACTGAATATATCATATATAAAGATACATATTCAGCATAAAATATAGAAATTTACTCACCTCTCCTCTGTTTCAGAGCTGCCATCTACGAGCTTTGTGGGTGTTACTCTTCATATAACACACACCTCTGGGCTGTTCTCCACTCCACCTCTGATCTTCATTGATTTGCCCTGCTTGTGGACATTACACCAAGCAGGGCAAACATCCTCAATGACACATGTACATTAGATTCAGAGCCAATGTGCCTGCGTCTGAATCTAGTAGTGTCAAGTCACTCCATTCCTGTTCTTCCTAGGCAGCACTACAAATTCTGCATTAACCACAACTGTGGCTGCTTTGTTTAGGAGAGCAGACGGACTATCTCAGGAGGGCTAGGGGCTGTAGGAATTCCAGTTTTATGAGTGCCTATTAATGTATTTCAAAACCTGGCTAAAAAGGCACAATATTTTGTACAGTTGTTTCTCATATTTTTGTAACAAGGTGAAATCATCTTGGTGAATCCAGACATAGTTACATAGTTGAAAAGAGACTTGCGTCCATCAAGTTCAGCCTTCAGACAATTAATTTGACCAAAAATGACATTACATCCTCTCCAAAAACAAAATATCATCTAAAATCACTTCCAAAACTGTAATTTAATTACCCTTCATTAAGCGTACAATATACACGTCAAGTCCTGTGTCTCAATAAAGAGATAAATAACCCCATATAATTGTTGTAAAAATACTTCTAAACTAGTGTCTTTTGGACACAACACAGTACAAAAGGCCAGTTTCCTGTGACTTATTCCTATGGATAAAAGTGTTAAAGGGACACTATAGTCACCAAGACAACTTTAGCTTAATGAAGCAGTATTGGTGTATAGGTCATGCCACTGTACTCTCACTGCTCAATTCTCAGCCATTTAGGAGTTAAATCACTTTGTTTATACAGCCCTTGTCACACCTCCCTGCATGTGACTTACACAGCCTTCCTAAACACTTCCTGTAAAGAGTCATCTAATGTTTACACTTCCTTTATTTCAAATTCTGTTTACATTTGAATGTCTTATCTCCTGCTCTATTAATAACTTGCTAGACCCTAAATAATTCTCCTGTATGTAATTAAAGTATAATTTACAGAGCAGGAGATACAAACATATAAAGTTACATCTGTGATTTTACTCCTAAATGGCAGATAATTGAGCAGTGAAACTTCAGAGGCATGATCTATACACATTAAACTGCTCAATTATGCTAAGTGGTTTTGGGGACTGTAGTGTCTCTTTAAAGGCATCCAAAGTAACCCTTACCTTGCTGTAATCAACACCTCTAGTAGGTAACCAATTAATGCATCCACTATACTCATCACAATACTTAACTACATTTTGACAATACATACACAATATATTGATTGACAATATTTTTACCATGAACAATGAATCATGCTCACTGGGCATGACAGTCATTATGCTTGAAGTAAACCTTTAATGCAGGGGTAGTCAACCTGGTCCATACCGCCCACTAGTGGGTAGTCTGGGATTTCAGGTGGGCGGTGGTGGGCTCTGCAGAAAACGCCTGGTGGGCCTCGATGGCCATGGACCAAGTCTGACAAGGGAGATCCTTTCATCACCCCTGCCAGCCCATGCAGAGCCAGCTTTGATGTAAGCCCTCTCGGGCTGGTGAGGAGATCAAAGATCTCCTTTACCGGCCCGCTGGCACTTAGTTCCACTAGAGGGAGGAAAGGGCCTGGAAGGCTCTGTGTTTCTCCTGCGAGCAGTCTGGTCGGAGTGTTGCCGTGTGTTACCATGGCAATGCTCCCCTCACAGACCCTGCACCTTACACACTGCCCCCTCACACACACATTTCTGCAATGCTTTATTTTATTTTTGTTATCATGTTTGACGTTTGTCAAATATCTACGGGCTCTTTTTCTTATATATATATATATATATATATATATATATATATATATATATATATATATATATATATATATATATATATATATATATATATATATATATATATAGAATATTCCAAAAATAAGGCTTGCACTCACGGTCTGTAGTAATGTTAAAAATATATTTCTTCTTTATTCCAATATTCTTAAAACAAATCTGTAGTATATTTTAAGAATATTGGAATAAAGAAGAAATATATTTTTAACATTACTACAGACCGTGAGTGCAAGCCTTATTTTTGGAATATTCTATATTGTTTGGCTATGGCTATTATGCACCCGGCATTTTTTGAATTTTGCAAGTGTGTGTGCAGGGTACCAGTGCAAGTTATATATATATATATATATATTTTTATTCTCTTTAAATTCCTTACAGTTTTACATCTCATTTTTTTAGGACTAGCAATCTTGTAAGTCTGCCTCCTCCACTGCTAAATATCACTTCCTACTAATGTGAACTGTACTTTAACATATACATTAGCTGACATGTATCACATGATTTGCTGATTGTCTCCTTATGCTGGTTCTCCACGTAGCCGATTACTCTGAAATGTATAGTTCATTTACTTCTCTGGATTCAATAGAGAGTGTGTGTATGTGTGTGTGTCTGTGTACACATTTGTTTACATAAGATATATGTCACTGTAAATTCTTCCTTCTAGTTTCAAACTGAACTGCTTTACACATACTTTGTGCTGGGTAAATAGAGAAAAATAATTAAAGGGAAACTCCAGTGCCAGGAAAACAATCCTTTTTCCTGGCACTGCAGGTCCCCTCTCCCTCCCACCTCCCAATCCCCGGTTGCTGAAGAGGTGAAAACCCCTTCAGTCACTTACCAGAGGCAGTGACTTGTCTCACTTCGCTGCTTCTTCCTCCACCGCTGCTCCTCCTCTGCATTACGTCGGCCGGTGGGCGAGACTAATGCCACCCACTGGCCGGGG